GGTGAGTGACTGAACATTTGCATGTATAAGGTACATTTGGCATTGGAGTAACACCGTTTTGTTCAATATACGAGTATTTCACACCTTTTTGTCAATGACTTTTTTCTTCCTAAGAAATATTCTAATCGCTAGTGACTAAGGAACTAATTCTGCATTTTCAGAATGGGAGAAATGTGCAATCACGTAACAGCTCTTCTCTTCCGGGTCAAGACGGCGGTTCGACTGGGGTATAATAAGCCCTCCTGTACCGAGCTACCATGCAAATGGGCATTACCTTCACAGAGAACTGTGGAGCCACAGAAGGCGAAACAACTGAACTTTTCTAGGAAAACACCCAAAGGCCAACATCAACCGAAAAGGCCTGTTGGATCAGAGGAGAAAGAAAACTTCGTTCAGGGTTCGTGTGCTACAGGAAACATCGATGAACTAACAGACAGACTGAAGGTGATCCTACCAAACGCAGTCATCTTCACTGCGTTAGAAACAAACAAGGACTGTGACCAAGAGGCAAGTGTTGCTACTGAAGAAAAAGATCCCATTTCTGTTTCTGATATGGCCGCAACATATGATTTGGCCCATAAACTAGACTTTCTAGATGCACTACATTCCATGTACACCACCAAGGACCCGGAAACCATTGAGTCTAAAACCATAGGACAAAGAAGGAATAGTAAATGGGTGAGCTATAGGAAAGGAATGATCACAGCATCCAATTTCCACGCCGTTTACACGAAAGTAAACACAATTCAGTCATCTAGACATACAGATATCAATACGTCATGTCTACTAAAGAAATTGACTACAGTTGGTGATTTGCAACATGTACCAGCAGTGAAATGGGGGGAGATCCAAGAAGAGACTGCAGTTGACAAGTATATAGAAACAATGGTAACACATCGGAACGTCGAGGTTAGGGAATGTGGACTTTTTGTGTGTCAGAATTTCCCGTATATCGGTGCAAGTCCTGATAGAATTGTCCATTGCGATTGTTGTGGATGGGGGTGCCTGGAGGTAAAATGTCCGTACAAGATCAGGTTTGGTGACCCTAACAAATTGTTTGATCAGACAGATTTCCTAGAAGTAGGAAATGGCAAGAGCATCGCACTTAAGAAGACCCACAAGTATTATACGCAGTGCCAAGGTCAAATGGCCCTAACAGGTTACAAGTACACTGATTTCTTTTCTTGGACGGAACATGGATATATCTGTGAGAGAATAGGGTTTGACCAAGAGTACTGGAAACGTGTACAGTCTAATATAGTATTCTTTTTCGATGAGTATTTGTCTGATGCACTCCTGCAAGGAAGCCGCTAAGTGTAATATGTCGCCTTTCATTAAACTACATCGTTTCACATCTCAATATTCTAACTCAATTTTCTAATAGCATATACTTTGTTACGTTGCAATCCATTACAATGAATACTAGTATATGAATCATATGTTGACATGATTCAATTTGAGTTATTATAAGTCTATTGTAAATCCACGCCCGAAGGCTAATTGCAAGTTACATTGAAAAATTGACTGGACTTGGAATAGTGGGCAAATTTTTAATGACTATCAAAGATATCACGGTATTCCAAAACAACAAATTATACCAAAACTAGCCGCGGTCTTAACGAAACTTTCGTAACTAAATGTGGGGTTCGACAAGGTTGTAACCTGAGTTCAAAACTGTTTAATTTATACATTAGGCAGTAAATGAGTTTAATGATCATTCTTGTAACCCTCCCATATTGCATAATAAGATAGTGCCTTGCTTGTTATACGCAGATGACCTAGCTAGTTATACATATTTTCTAAATCTCAACGGGGTCTACAAACATCTTTAAGTAGATTAGAAACAAATTGTAAAACATGGCACTACTGAATGTTAACCTTAAATAGACCAATGAAAGAAATACCAAAAAAACCCAACATCACCGCAAATTCTACACAGGCCTCCCAACAATAGCTGCATTCCACGAAATTTTTCAATACCTGGAACCTAGGGCAATATTAATACAACAGCAATGTAGTAGAGATAGTTACAAACTATTGTTACCTTGGTATTGTTGTTAATGCAGCCGGTACGTTCAAGGTAAACAAACACTTGTACAACAAAGGTCTGAAAGCACTGTTTGGAGTCAATCAATTTCTAAACAAAGCCAACGCGACAATATCTCTCGTGTCAACTTGAACTTAGTACATCAGGCACTAATGCTGGGCTTCATTTGGTATTTCTCCTTCCATGTACCTGTCCTTAATCTCCAAGCGTGGCTAATGGACACTCCTCTGGCCAATGGATACTGTCTTGCCACCAAAAGATCTGCCTGGAGATTACCTGTCCTTGGTACAACACATGGGTAGAAAGCAGAGAGCGGAAACCACTAATCATCTGGCCGTCAAAAGACGTAGTCATAATAGTGATAATGGCACCCTTCCTGCCACCGTCAAGGCGTATCCGAAAGTCCACTGCATTATCGACTGCACGGAGATTCTAAAATGTGTAAAAAAATTACACAAGTGGAGGCATAAGATTACATATTGCTGCACAGATTGTGACTAATTCATCAGCATGCGGTATCATTGAAATGGGGAGTTCATTCTTCAGGATTCTGAATGTCTTTACTCTTTGAATTGCTCTCTCCACGTGTATTCGCACGTTGGCAATCCTTTTTGTCCTTTCGACGTCACCTCTTGACATCTGTGATTTCCCCCTGGCCCCAGGAGGTATGGTGAGTGAAGCTTGCCGGAACAACAAATCCTCTTGTATATTGAACCCCCGGTCGGCCATGATGTTATCATGTGGCTCCACTTTGTCGAGGAATCCAGACTCCAGTGTAATGTGCCTGTCACTTGCCCTGCCTCCCCAGCATTCCGACAAGAACGATACAGCGCCATTCGGTGTGATTCCGATTAAGAACTTTAGTGTGTTATGTTTTTTGTAGTCCGACCAGGTGACTGCTTGGCTATCCAGATTTTTCGGAGTTTCAATGAAAATCTCCGTGCAGTCAATAATGCAGCGGACGTTCGGATACGCCTTGAAAGGGGCAGGAAGGTTGGCCCTTACTACGTCTTTTGACGGCCAGATGATGAGTGGTTTCAGTTCTCTGCTGAGAAATGGTACCCACGTGTTGTACAGGTTACTGCACACGGAAGGAGAGATACCAAACCTGTCGGCCACGTCTTCATTTAGGAGTCCCAGCCTGTTCCGCATAAGGACCATTAGTAGTTCGTCCTTTAACTTCCTGTGTGTTGCAATATTCCTCTTTTTTGCGCTTTGCCGCTTGGCCCCTCTCCATACACGAAGTTTCCTTGCCCTAGGTTCCAGGTATTGAAAAAGTTCGTGGAATGCAGCTACTGTTGGGAGACCTGTGTAGAATTTCATCTTTCTGTCTGTTTGTATGGAATTTGCGGTGATGTTGGGTTTTTTTTGCATTTCTTTCACCTTTTTCTGGAGCGTTTGACACTTTCTTTGTAATGCCGTTATACTCTTTGACATAGATGATATAACATTCTTTTATCTCGGCAACTTAGACACTCCCTACATTGAGTGGGCGCGCGTACGAGTGGACATGGCTATACGAGTACGTCAATTTACGTCGTTTCTTGTTCGGTGTCAGTCGATCGCGAGGCGAGGTGCTTTGTTGTGCATGTGGCGTTCCACGCGTTGGTGTTGTCGGTGTTTTTAGTCCGTTTTTCGTTCCACGCGTTGGTGTTGTCGGTGTTTTTAGTCCGTTTTTCGTTCCACGCGTTGGTGTTGTCGGTGTTTTTAGTCCGTTTTTCGTTCCACGCGTTGGTGTTGTCGGTGTTTTTAGTCCGTTTTTCGTTCCACGCGTTGGTGTTGTCGGTGATTTTAGTCCGTTTTTCGTTCCACGCGTTGGTGTTGTCGGTGTTTTTAGTCCGTTTTTCGTTCCACGCGTTGGTGTTGTCGGTGTTTTTAGTCCGTTTTTCGTTCCACGCGTTGGTGTTGTCGGTGTTTTTAGTCCGTTTTTCGTTCCACGCGTTGGTGTTGTCAGTGTTTTTAGTCCGTTTTTCGTTCCAACGGCGTTGTGTTGTCGGTGTTTTAGTCCGTTTTTCGTTCCACGGGTTGGTGTTTTTGGTGTTGTTGCACCACGTTCTTCAAGATTTAGCTCGGGGTCCGGGTGAGTGGCAGTTGGCTTCCCATCAACGAAGTGAGTGGAACATATGAAATAACTGCACTTTGGGTGCCATTTCAAAGACTGGCGATTCAGATCAAGGATCCTCCACCATCTGTTTCTTCGTTTATCTTTTTCTTCGTTCCCATAAGGGAATCTGTGTAAGGTGAACGGTGGTTGACAACTACAGTGTTCCTGAAGGTTGCCAGGATGTTCTTGGCATGGTGTCTTTCTCCAGAGTCGTAACTGTCTTGTGTTGTTTTTACAAGCTCGAACGCAACAGGATACCCGAAACCATGCTGTACGTACGGATAGGGGGAAGGTGCAGTGAGATAAGGGCGCAGATACATGGCTTTGAAGTTAATCAATATCTTATATACTTAACTGTGACAAAGAGGTAGTTGAGTAACAAAGGAAAGTGTAGTATACATGGTCGATTTCCAGCATCGATACCGGCAATCATTTACGCGACGCCGGCGGCCCAAATAGCGCCTTGAGATCAGGTGTCAACGCAAATCACCTTAACTGGTTGTACGGAATGCCACCATATAAAGTTGGTGCCTGTTCTTCTGTCATTTCCGCGTATATTATCGAGAAAATAGACACTTACCTACCTTTTGTGACTGATCTACCAGGGGAGACACCGCAAGCCGCGTTCTAGAACGCCGTTCTATTCGAATTGTCCCCCCTGTGACGTAAGCAGTTTATGCGATCCGCGTGTAAGATTCTTTCGAATTGTCCCCCCTGTGACGTAAGCAGTCAATGCGATCCGTGAAAGTCGAATGGGTCTATTCTCTATCATTGGAATAAGATCAAAATTTTTTGTGTTGCCATGGCAACGGGTTTCTGACAGACATTTTTTGCTAAATTTATTACTTTTTGTTTCAACAATAGAATTTTATGGGTTTTATGTCAAGTTACTCATGGTTTCTAATATTAATAACATCCCATATAATTCTATGTAAATTTTATCATTAAATATGCATAATTTATGCTAATTTGATGACGTCATTGGCCAAAATCCAAGATGGCGGACCATATCATTAGAACAGGTATATACAGGTTATTTTGACGTCATATTACGTCATGACGACATAAAAATTGTGGATATGATAAATTTTTACTAGTACACCATTCTCTGAAAATTTGGTGGTCATACGACATACCGTTC